AACAGAACGCAACATTTATTTTGTGAAACCAAAAAAAGGCAATGTATAAAGGAAAAAAGGTACTGTTCCCGCGAACTACAAACCAATATTAAATAACAGAGCAATATCGTTTTCTTACATACCTTTGGAGGTTGTGATACCACATCATATTTCTTTAAAAAAGGAAAGTTGGAATGCGTCAAACTCATGAAGGACCGGCCATCATTACGAGAAGTTGAGGCTTTGAACAACCCGGAAGCTAAGAGTGAAGAAGTATCTGCTACACGTGGAAGATTCTTTCTAGCTCTGTATGGTGCCCATAAAACGGAAACATCATTGAACAAGCTACGGTACAATCTGTTCGCCAAATCTGCTACAAAAAAAAGTAGATCTGGCTTTTCTGCCACCGACGGAAGCAGCTTTGAGGCAGCACTCCTTCAGAGTCAATCATCAGGTACAAGAGTCGTTGGGTAATAAAAAATGTCCTGTGGTTTGGGGGTGGAAGAGGAGTGCTGTTGGTCTGGTACCTGTGCCAACTACCCTACCTGCTGCTCCAGATTCTTTGCTCCAGATTCTTTGCTCCAGATGATTTCTAGCGATTGCAAGAAAGGATGCACGGCAGCCTGCGATCAATTGCGAATATTGCCTTGGAGCATCGTGCCTCAACGCACAATACTGTCAGGACAACGCCGAAACGCTGGAATCCGAGGAGAAGGACGATTTTTCCGTTTCATCTCTTCTAAGTAATGAATACGAAGTTCCGGACGAACCCGACCCGATGGTTATATTTTCAAATAACGAAAAATACATGCCTTATTCTCCATGTTATACCCTGCGTCTTCGAAATGGGTGATGTACCCGAAGCGTAGAGTTGTCCCAGTTGTCAGACCGAGAGCGGCTTTTGAGGCCTGGTGGGTCGAAACAGTACTGTTTTGCTCCTGCTGACAATTGGGGCAACTCTGACCATCCTGGAACTCTTGATTATGAGATCTAGCAGCTTTTCCGCAGGTCACCATGAGCGTATACAACTAAATTATAGTTTGTCCAGTCGGTTTGCAGTAGAATTTTATATTTTTCCAAATCGTTGTGGCGACATAAGTCCAAAACCGTGCATATTTCGGAAATAATTAATGAATACTTTTTTACGATAAATTTTGTTAGCTTCCTTTAGTGCTTCGGATGACACTTAAAAAGCTAAGGTCCCCGTCTTCTTAACTCACACAAGTCTCTGACTTTCGAGGGTTGCTTTGCAACTAAGCTGGCGGTTAAAAACACACTTTTTTTTTCCTTTTACCTCTCTACCTTTATCGCGATAAAGTTGACAGTTACCGAGATATACGTGAAAAACTGAAATATTGCACCTATTTTCCAAGATGGCGGCGCAAGCTCTACAGGTATGGGTAATGACTTTTTTTTGGCAAGATGTAATGCTGAAAGGAACACGTACACCAATTTTCAAAACTTTGGCTCCGATTCCCGCTATTTTTTCTAAGGTGACTGGGCTATACCATGATTATTATGATTGTCAAAATCTGGAATACTTAAGAATACACATGCGAATGGTAACCAGAAATTCTATAGGCTTTTGTTTTGTGACTTGGTGTATTTCCACGACTTTAGATATCATTCAAGTGTTCCCTTACTGCATTCAAAAAATGTGGCGGGCACCATCTTGCTGAAACCACATTCTATTCCTTTCAGGAAGATTCACTAGTAATTGCGGCAGATTGTTTTCCAAGAAATTCAAATAAACAATTCCTGTCAAGGTACCATCGAAGATATGCGGCCCTATTACATGTTCTCCAATGATTCCTCCCCAAACATGTATGGACCATCTATGCTGATTATCAACTTGCCTGAAGAAATGTGGATTTTCTGATGCATAGTAATGAAAATTAGGCCTATTAACAAATCCATTCTTATGGAAGGTCGCCTCATCAGTGAACAATACTTTATTGAAGAAATTCGCATCCTCTTGCATTCTCCCACTCGCCCAATTGGAAAACTCTAGACGCTTTTGAAAGTCTTCATTACTAAGTTCTTGTTGCATGAAACTTATTCTTCTTCAAAATTCGACCAACTGAACGCCTACTTATTCCAACGGATGAACACACTTCTCTCTGACTGATGTGGGGATCCTCAACCATTGTCAGCATCACAGAAAACTCATTTTCTTCATTGATAATATTTTTCCTCCTTTCCTTTTCTTTGTATTGTACATTGCCGGTATCTAAAAACCTTTCAAGCAAATTCTGAAAGATCTTGATATCAGGGCACCTTCTTTCAGGATACCGCTGGTGGTAAACTCTAGTGGCAAGCAAACAATTCCTTTCTGACACTCCCAGAAAAAAAGTCATATTGACAAGTTCTTCTTTGGAGACATTCATTTCGGCGAATTTCAAATACTTCAGATTTGACACGAATGAAAACTCGACTAGTGCGATAAATGTTCATTCAGTAATAATGATGATACAAAACTGAAGCAAACCAGAATAATGTATACGAGAAAAATACTTCCATACAAAAAAATATCCGAAACGGATGAATAAAATGAGAATGGAATCACAAAGATTCTCATGATGTTTTTATAACAGATAAAAATGTGTATCGTTTAAAATAGCCGACCTACAATTTTCGAAAATCAATAATTCAAAAATGGTTACGAATATCGATATGGATGTTCAGACAAAAGACGTTCTTGTTTTGATGTAAATCAAATGGCCAAAAAATATATTGGGTGTTCCATTTGAAAAACTCAAGAAAAATCGCATCGAAAAGTTTCGAATTGAAAAATCATTTTCAACCATCCTGTATAATTTGAGGGCATGAAAATTCTTCATAAACATCACGCATCCTTTCATCAAATGACATTTTGATAATTTTCTCTTAGATTTCATAATTGTGACGACAATGATTTTTTCGGTATGCATTTGCAGATGACATTATTTCGACAAAAAAATTCATAACTTTGATATGACCAAGATATATTCAATAATATTAAAAGGGTGGATAGAGCTCACAGAGATGCTTCAAAAGAATGTGCTAATATACAGAGCATTCTATTTAAAAATAATGATACCGACTCTCTAGATTTTTTTAGGCGCGCCCTGTATATGCGGCAATGATTTGACCATATTGTCTCATTCACATTCGCTTTTGACTCATATTTCTAGCTATCATTGAACTCAAGCAATCGAGCTCCGACGCACTAATGCCCCCACCCTGTATATCGCAGGAGCTTCTAGGAATGTACTTCCATACTATTATTAGAATATTTGCATGGAACATTCCATAAATATTCGCAACATTCTAAGAATATTCCTTAGAGTATTTAGATTACATTTCCGCATCTTGTAAGAATATTCGTGTTATCTGGGATGATGCCGCTACCTATAGCCATCAGGTGTATCCCTAGATCACACGATGAATACTTTTACTTCTTATCAACTATTTTGCTGACATATATTATGCTTCCTCGATTTGAAAGTGAATAAGCGCTACTTAGATCTCAGCAAGAGCGAGGGTGTTGTTTCGGTTCGATTTCTCTCATCAGTTGCACTCGATATGCTGACAATTGTGACATCTCGACCTCATATAATTCAAATGTGTGAATGTTTTTTTGGGAATTTTCCAAACTAATAGTGAAATAGTGAACGATTATTGGCAACATCAACTTCGTGGGTACTGAAACGATGAATACCCTGACAGTGAGAAATTTCTATGAGAAATAATGTATATAATTGTATGATCAGTCCAAATAATCATTCGAAAAATTCACAAAGTTGTTAGAAAAAAAGCAAGTATGCTTGATTGAGTTAGTCGGTGAAATGATATGGTAGAATTTATTCCTGAAACAATCTACTACTGATCAATTAGCATCGATTATATGAGTGCGCTGAATGTAATTTTAGTAGATATTTTTTCAAATTACCTATAACTTTTTGTATTGTAATATTCTAGGATTTAAAGTGATATTCATGCTTGGCATATATGATGCATATGGTGTCTGCAGTTATACAAATGTGATTAACAATTCATTGATTTTCAATTTTCAAAATAAAATGTTTTATATTGCAGTGAACATATTTTGAAATAGGTCACCCGGTTTATTGCAGCTTGGAATGCTTGTGATAGAAACTTCACCTCTTCCACCACTATTTCAAACAATACCAAAATAATATGAAATAAAATAAACGGTTTCTGTAAATCCATTCATAGATCTTATACTATATAAAGTGTCACGAAAGAAATGTTACAAAACTTTTGGCCAATAAACCTGTGCGCAGGCGCTTAATTTCGGTGCTAACACAACATGATTTTCTTCATATGAAAGATCTCATTAACAAAACTAATAAAACAGAGCCAGATTTGTTCGAGATCAACGTCAGAGCAGGGATATTTGAACGTGCTACTGTCGATCATGCGTTGTTGTTAGTGGTCTGAATTATCAACATATACTGTAAATACTTTCATTATCGTTTATTCGTTATTTGTTCAAAAATATTTCAATTTGATAGATGTTTTGCTGTTTAAATGATTAATAATTGAATTATGACACGTTGTATCAGCGAAACTAGGCGCAAGTGCACTGACCGTGTTCATTGGAAAAACATATTTTTCTTAAAATCTACCATGCCTAATATTTTGTAATAGACCTCTCGAGATACTCTGCATTTAATGTATATCCTTTAAATATTCGTGTTTTGATACTAGAACTTGGGCTATCGTTTCGTTTCAATACTTGAGCTTGAGCTATCGTTATTTGATACATGAAAGTATATATTATTCACACTGCCCTAAATACCTTGTAAATTTCACATTTCATATGTACTTAGGTAGTAAAGGTAGAGCTTATGAAGGACTAGAAACAACTTCAATGGCAATTATTGTCTCAAACTAATACTATCGATCAGGTAACTTAATTGACTAAAAGTGTCTTCATACATGCTACATTATTTTTTGGCTAATTTTGGTTTGGAATATGAAAAATATTTACACATCAAGATGATTTTCAGAATCACCTATCCATATTCTGACTGTACCGACAGACTGAAGTCACCTGGGTTGATTGTTGTTCCATGATACCACATCCTTGTATCCACCAGAACTGAAATTTAAAAAAAAATCAAATACTTATTACAAATATGACACATTATCTGGGAACATGAATGACATATTCATCTATGGTCCTGGTCATCATTGAATTGATGTTTTTTTTATTATCTGTTCGAACTAATAGAATTACGCCATAATGTTCACAGAATACCTACATATACCTCCTACCCACTTCTTGGTAATCCGATCTAATGTTGCAACATACCCCAAATATGACTATTTATTTCATACCACATCTTTTGATTATTTATAAATTCTTGAGGATATCCCTCAGTGCAATTTAGAAAACATTACAAACAAATCTCTTCAGAAATGTGAGCACTGAAAATTTGCCGATTTGTAACAGGCTCAGGAATCACCCTATATAAACAAGATATCAATCAGCAGTAGCATCTGCTAATGGTGGTCTGAAAGATTCAATCATGGAAAGTTAATATGTGTTCATAAGATTTTGATTGGTCCGATTCAGGTGAACAGTTTTATCAAAAAGCCAGGATTTGAAAGCCTGGTTTCATGAGTGGTTAAACAATATAATGTGCTTTTTGTTTCAATTGTCCAGTAGAACACGCAAGTGGTGATGAGGAAATCGGCATTTCAGTATTACTTTCTCAACATGATTTGTTTGGATGATACATATTTTATTAGCAATGTTCTTCTTCTTCTTCCGTTTATTTGCTACCAAATAAGATACTTATTATGATGTTACAATTACTAAAATATGCACGAGAGGAAAATTGGCTGCAAATATTCTCTGACGATAATAAAAATAATACAACAAATATGTTTATACTGAAAATTCTAAATATGATTAGTAAAAGTACGAATCGAGTCAAGATGAGAAAAAAATAAATAAAAAAACCGTGGATGACAAATGGTCTTCTGAAATCTGCAGAAAAAAAAGATGAATTGTATCGAAATACGAAAAATAATCCGACTGTAGAGCACAATAGAGCGTATAATCAATATAGGAATATATTTGGTAAACTTGTGTTGGAAACTATAGCTAGACACTACCAGGAAGAGCTGGACAAAAATAAAACGGATTCATCAAAATTATGGAAATCAATCAATAAATAAAACAGAAAAAAATCGGAACGTAGCAAAAATAAAATTGAGTGAAGGGCAAATAATAGAAAAGAAAAATTAAATCATATAATAATTCAATAACTTCTTTATAACAGTGGGAGAAAAATTAGCAAGTAACATACAAAAAAATCATCGCATACGATGTTTTCCCAAGACAAACCAGGTCAATTCGTTATTCTTGGAAGAAACTGAAATATTTAATATTATTATGATGCTAAAGAATAGAGTCACGAGGACTGGATAACCTGAGGGCGGAACATCTGAAAATAATAATAAACAAGATAACTGAACCAACAACATACCTCTTCAATAAGTCATTCAGAGAAGGAACTTCTCCAACGACATTCAATAAATCATCTATAAGTCCCATATACAAAAGCGGAGAAAAGCTGGATGTGGCAAACTATCGTCATATCTTGCTTATATCAAGTGTATGAAAAAACTGTTGGATTTCAATAGAAATATCCAAAAAGTGAAATAAAGAAGTACCGCCACTGCTTGGTGTTTATGAATATGAATTCTGTTTTGGTTCCGTATGCTAAACTGTCCGATGCTCACACTCTTCAGATATCTATCAATAAAGCAAGTAGTTCGAACCGTATGACGTTGTTTTTATCAAGTACCTACCTAAATATCCCAATAACTATAATAAAAACTATCAAAAAGAGTCTGGTCAGTTTCCTCGAAAAAAATAACGTTCGGTCAAAAAACCAATTTGGATTTAAAACTGGAAAATCTACGCAGGATGCATTATCAATGCTAATAAATAAAATATTGATAGAAAAACACCAACTCTTTGCATTTTCAATGACTTGGCAAATGCTTTCGACACGGTTAGCCATACTCAGCTATTGGAAGTCTTGGAAGGATATGGTGTAAGAGGAACAACATATTCATTATTCAGAAGTTATCTCGAGAATAGACAACAGCGTGTCAGGATTGGTGACAGTACTAGTGGATTCAAGACCATTAAATATGGTGTACCACAAGGATCTGTTCTAGGGCCAATTCTATTCACACTCTATCTTAGTGATATTATTCAAGGCAGGATTTGAGGAAAACATAGTGAGTTTTGCAGATGACACTGCGATTTTATATGAAGCTGATACCTGAAAAAACTTGAAATTGAAGGCAGATCATGACTTTTCATATATAACTGAATGGTTCAATAATCGCCTACTCACGATGAATATGTCCAAGACTCATTATGTACCTTTCACCTCATATGCAAAATATTTACCCCATAATCAGCAAATGGATATATCTTCAACGACAAGTATTAAATACCTAGGAGTATATAGATGCCAACCTGAAATGGGGCATACATATAGATTTTGTGATAAAGAAGTTGAGAACAATATTGTATAAAATTAAATTTCTTACCAACATATATAACACACAGCATTTGCGAATAATATACTTCGCGCTGATAGTCATTTGACATACGGAATAATAAAATGGGGTGCAGCACTGAAAAGTAGGATCCAAAAATATGTATTAAGAACCATAAACCAGAAACCAAAGAAATATCCAACAGAACAACTTTATAAACCCAACCAATTAGGTATATTTTCTTAAGAATACAATTTATCAACATTCACGAAAATGTGAATTATTTCCTATCGAACATCATCATGATACTAGATATAAAAGTGCCAGAAATCATTTGATCTTGAAACCAGAAAAAGATATTATGCAGAGAACGTCTTGGGTCAAAATTGTTCAACTCCCTTCCACAAAATCTGAAACAAATACATCCAGCAATGCCATTCAAAACCGGATTGAAAAAATATTTGAAAGATACCCCCAGAATTGATATTCATCAAATTATAGAGAGCAATCTAGATTTAAGATTATTATTTATATTGTCAGTAATTGTCCTCAAATGTAGATGTGCATATTATACATATTTATATAGGTACTAAGTACGTATAGCACGTGTTTGTACTAGAAACCACATTATATGTTATTTTTACTTTTAGTTTAGGTTTATTTTAATATTATATATCTCCTACTCCCAACGCACAGACTTGATCTTCTGTAGGGCTACCAATTTATTCCTTCTCTACATATTTATTCTACATATATATTGTGCTTATTATATCCTACACTTGATTTGTAATTATGAATGTAGATATGAATAAATTATTATTACTATTACCTAATATTTGAAAGACAAAATTATTCATGAGTTGCTCTTCAATTGTAATTAATGATTGGTATAATCACTTTATAACTCTCCATCCTCACTAAAGATGAGAGAACTAGTTTAATCAACATTTTAATAAATACTGAAGAAATATCAATGTTGAAAGCGAAAATATTGCAAACTGAAAGTAATCAGAAGTATATCGAAAGAATTATTCACAAAAGTGAACCTGACAAAGTGTTTCGAAATGACATTATTATATCAAGCATTCGGTTGCGAAACTGGTCTTCATTATAGATTATAATACGCAAGTCTATACATCATAAATTCAGTTTCGTAAAGTCAGCACTCATAATTTACTCAGACCACTTCCGTAGTATGAATTTGATTTTCATTCAAAACTGCAATATTTCCAAATTGAAGTAGATACAAACAAATATTACCAACCTGCGTCGCCAGGTTCGACCAAGAATGACAGAGGTTCACATATCGTTTCACATTCTGGTGGTGGGTGCAGATTCCAGTTTTTGGATCCCTTCAGTTGGGCTTGCCATATCAGACGATTGATAAAGTCTAACTGTAATGATGAAAACAGTTGATCGTCTTCTTGAGAGTTTGTGAGTATTATTATCTATATCCATTCCATGGAATCAAAATAGTCAGGTTGTAAACACTATGTTAGATGTGGTATAAAATTCAATATTAGCGGGGTTACAATAAATAATTATGAAAATTGAACACTGAAATTTATCCAAAATCGTGATAGGCAGTCACTATTGATTTGTTTCAAACCGTTTCAGACCAATTTTTTATGATCGGCATTTTGGAGAAACACTTTTAATATCAACCTAACCTTAGTTGCATAACCATTGTATAACTGAAAGACTGCAAATGAAAATACGATGCAAAATTATTGTGTCATTCATGAACTGATCTTGAGAAATACCTACAACTCGTTTTATTGACAATTAATTCCTTCTTCTTTTTGAAACAAATTATGTCGCTCTTGTGTGGTTTGTATTGAATAATCAATACGCTTGTTGTATAAACAGTTATTCATATATTTAATTTTCAAAATCCCCCAAATAGGCATTCCACGAATGATTGATGTATCATCAAGACATTTCATTCAATTTTGTATAAAAAAATACCTTTTGTTGAAACTTAATAGGACGCAGTTTTCGAGAAAAATGAAAGAAAAGAAACCACTCCAAATTTCGATGTAAATGCTTCAAATCATTATGTTGTGTAACATCCTGGAGTTTTTGCATTATTTCAGTCAAATAAAGAAGAGAAGTTTACGACATACATTCATATGAAGTTTTTTTAAAAGGTCCAAGAATCGCCCCCTTGAATATTAGCATGTCACCCTGTATAACAGACTCATAAAAAACGGTTTAAAAGCTTATATTTTTTTAATGAACAAGGTTTTTCATACATTATCTGAGCATCCGAATTCGGGATTCAACAATCGAATTATTGTCAAAAATTGATATTTGTTACATTTAGTTGTATCATTACTCACGTGCATGGTAGCACCGTCATCATAACCCATGAAGATATATTCTTTCGATGGTATTTCACAATCATCTGGCAAGAAGTGAGGCTTAGGATAGTGTTTCCTCATCTCTTCAAGAACATCTGGATGACAATTCCCCCTATGCAAATAAATCAGAAATATTTTCATTTATTTTTGCCGAAAAAATAGTTATTTTTGTATCTAGAGCGCGAAATGCTACTTTGGTGATCGAGACCTGATTTTTTTAACGAGGCGCAGCCGAGTTAAAAAAATAGTCGAGATGACCAAAGTATTTCGCGCTCGAGTTGCAAACAACATTTTTTCTACAAATGTCAAAAAGTATAGTTCTAACGTAAAAATATGCTTAGCTTGATATAAAAAATATTGTTGAACTGTCTTAAATGGTCTCCCCCTATCCTCCCTAGGTACGCACGATGTTCCACGAACATAATAGGAATTACATGTCGTGCGCTCCAAGAGATAAAACAGAGTTATTGTTGAATAATGATTTCGTGGATGTTTGCTCGATTGAGGACCATAAAGTTGAAATATGAATATCTCATATATTTTACATAACAATGCGCGAAGTAGGTACTTCGCGCACTGTTTTACTTCGCGCATTGTTTTGTGCAAGGTATCATGGTATCGTAGGAAACTGGAAAAAAAGGGTCACTTCGCAATTTGTTATCAATGCGCGAACCTTGTCATTTTTTGACGTTTGTAGAAAAACTCATTTATTACAGGTCAAGTAAAAATCACATGTCCATTGCTGCCCGGCTTCATTATAGAGGATGTGAATGAATGAGTGCGAAAAAGTTCAAGTGATTCATAAAAAATATTTCCCAGAGTTGATTGCTGGAAGGTGTAATATGGACTGTGACTGGTTAGTATGTTGTGTGTATGTCCCACCTAACGCTAGGGGAGAGTTTATAATGATAGTTTAATCACTTGAATATTTGAATGAATTGAACTGTTATGATTTTATCCATATTGTAGATTTTTAAATTCCTGAAGAAAGCGGCACATCATTCAGCTTTGCATAGGCAATGGATAATATATAGATGATTTAATGAACAATCATGATCTTTTTTCAGTAACTAATTTGAATAATAATACTCTAGCCCTGGTTTTAACTGATATGGTCAATGCAACTATTACCAAAGCAGAAACAAGCTTCATTGATTTTGCAGATGAGTATCATCCTGTTTCAAAAATATCCTGCTTCTAGAATGAATCCGATGTAAATAGTACAAAAGTGGATGTGATTGGGGGAATATCACTGTTTTGAAGTTGTTGATTTATTTCATGAATAAATATTTATTATACAACGGAAAAAGCTATAGTTTTTAGTTCGAGGTTGTGTCGTCTCCCGACGCTTATCGGAGGGAAAAAAACCGTGAACTAAAATCTAATATTTTTCGTGTATATAATACACTATTTTTTCTGTGACAAGAAAAAGGACGATTCAATATTGAAAAGATATTAGATTATAATAAAACCAGAAAATTATCGATGTGAAGTTTTTCAACTGGTAGTGCAGAAATCTTTTTGTAGGCATCTTTATTGTTGCTATGGAACCTTTTGAGTTAATCAAATATCTGTCAGTTTAGTTCTGTATTATGATTTCAAAAATTGCGATTTTAGTGGTTGGAAGATGAAAAAGACTTTCAGTTCTTCCTCGGAGACGGTGTTATTGGATTATTTTTCGGAACTGGTACCCACAACAAAAGCTATCAGCAGTGCACCTATATATCCGGAGAAAAAAGTATTCACTTTTTTCCCGTGGAAAAAAAGTTCGTTTATGAAAAGTGACATTTTGTAACCTGTCAACAGAGATGAAATGTCAAACTTTTTTTCTATCACAGAAAAAAAATTGGTACATTTGATGAATATCTTCCTGAAAGGGAACTGAGCTCCAGTGATAAATTTCCTGCATGGTTTTGTGCAGAACTCAAAAAGACCCTTGAAAAATTGAGAAATATACTTCAAAGACAAAATGAATATCTGGAAAAAAAATGTGAATTGAAGCGAAAAGTGAATATACCTACTAATAATCCAATGCGAACAGGAACATTTGCAGACAATAGAAAATAATATTAGTTCAAATTCTAAAGAGTTCTGGACGTAATAACGAAAAATGGCAAGAAACTGTCAAATAATTTCAAATACTGCGATGAAATTATTGCTAATGAACAAGATATATTAAATGCTTTTGCTGTTCTGTTTCATTCTGTATACAATGATCATCCTCCAAAAAATATTGATTATACTTGTGAGATTGATCTAGAAAATGTTATATCTACAATCACTGAACAAGACGTTCGTATAGCAATAAGATCATTGATACCAAAAGCATCAGCAGGAGGGGATGGTATACCATCTTTTTTTTCAAAGGTTATCTATAATAATAGGTTTTCAATACAGTAGTCCGGAGTAGTGTGTTTCCGAAAAAATATAAAATAGGTCGAATAATCCCAGTACATAAAACTGGCAACCATATTGTATGATATCAAATCATAGACCAGTTACTGTACTTCATGCATCCTCCAAAATTTTGGAGAGAGTACTGTACAATAGAATTAATGCACATATAAAGGTGTTATATGTAAAGAACAACATGAATTTATAGGTAAAGAATCAACAGTAACCAACTTGATAATCTTTAGCAATAATTTAGCACTTGCAATCAATGCTGGAAAACAGGTAGACGTAATCTACACAGACCTCGCCAAAGCATTCGAAAAGGCGAACCATGAAACTTTGGTCTTCAAGCCAAGAAATGTCTCTTTCAATGAAGAATTATTATTATTAATGAAATCATATCTGTCAGATAGGGGACAGTTTCTCATTCAATAAAAAAAAATCTGCTGTTTTCAGACCTACTTCAGGCGTGCCACAAGGCTCTATATTAGGCCCATTATTATTTTTTATGTGTATTAATGATATAGGTGAGCACGAGGGCAGAGATAAGTTACCCACAGGGGTAACTTATCTCTGACCAAACCATTGACAACGAGTTAGACATAGTGACTAGGGTTGCCACCTATCCTGCATTTCGCAGGACGTCCTGAATTCGAGTTACTTTGTCCTCCGTCCTATCGGGATCACTTGCAGGACGCCAATAAATGTCCTGAAGTTTGTGGCCTATCGAGGTGACATGACCAACATCGCCAAATGAAGTTTATACGCTATGAGTATTGAGTAACTTTTTCTCTGTAGGTATTCAACAAAATGTATGTAAGGATAGATATTCATTGCGTGCAGAAATACTCCACCAGTTTTATTCAATGGGACTTGCAATGTACTTTTTTCTGAGATGCACTTTCGAGACGCTCTTCACTTTCTGGACGATTTTTATTTGAGTAAGCAGCACTTATGATCCTAGTTTCATTAGGTTAGGCTTACATTAGAGTGAAGTGAGTGGTGGTAGTGGCCAGCCGCTGCTCAGATGGTACAATATGGTAGACAGGGAAGAAGAAAACGTCTATTGAAAGTATTGCTACCCTAAAAGTGAATCTTCAGAATGACCTTGATTCTGTTACCTTTTCCTGCGAAATCAATGACTTGAAAATGTAAATGTGTCTTTCTCACATGATAAGTGGCTACTTCCAACAGAGTATACTATTCATGAAACTAAGTTAGACAAGCTTGAAAAAATTTAAGATCTAGGATTAATATTCAGTGAGAATTTTAGCTTTGGTAACCACATAAATTACATTGTTAAAGATGCAAACCGTGAGTTATCTGGTTTGATAGGGAATATTTCCACATCAAAAATTCTGGAAGATACAGGGTGTCAAATATCTGTAATGTCTAGAGAATTCAGTGAATTACTGGATAAAGATGATATTTCATTGCCAAAGTTACCTGCAACTGGGGTTACAATTGTAGGAGCAACAGGTGATAAGAGTAAGAAAGTGGAAAATCAGCGATTTATTACGGTATGAATTCAGGGATATTTGTTTGATATTGCTGTATTAGTTATAGAGAAACTAGTTCATCCTATAATTTTAAGGATAGATTGGTTAACACAGCTTGAAGCTAAAATTGATTTTAAAGATCAATGTTTATTACTGAAGAGAGAAAATTAAGATATTGTCTTAGGTTTTGAAGATAAACTCAGTAATCATCAAGGGAAGTCAACTGTAGCAATCATAGAAGAGCTAGAAGATGAAGCAGAAATGCATAGTAGGTCAGATAGCGATAAACTCTCAGCAAGACTTGAGAAGTTGATTGATGAATATAAAGATATATTTCAAGATAAACCTGGGTTGACTGATGTTTATACCCATGGTATAAAATTGAGGAATGATTCTTCATTTTTTTCAAAGAGTTATCCTATTCCATTATGTCATAGAGATGCAGTTAAGAGAAAAATACAGGAGATGTTAGATTGGGGTATAATGGAAAAATTAGATACTTCCTATATCAGTCCGATAATTGCAGTGATAGAGAGAGATAATTCTGTTAGAATAGGTCTAGATGCTAGAAATTTAAATAAGAGAATTCAAATGGACTATGAGTGTCCGTTACTAACAGAACAAATGTTGTATAAGTATGATAGGTGTATATAAATGTCCACTTGTGATTTCACTAGTAGCTTCTGGCAGCTTCCTTTAGATGAACAATCCAGGAAACTTACAGGTTTCATGTTTTCAAGTTCAAGGTTATGCCATTTGGGTTGTCAACGTTGCTGGCATGACGAGATGTTTCGATAGAATATTTCTTGGGTTAAAGTTTATCACAAATTATATTGATATCTTCTGCTTCTGAGGAACTCCATTATGAACATTTAGAATTTTTTTTTCAATAAAGTTAAGTTGGCAAATATATAAATATAACGAGAAGTAACATTGAAAATTTGCACTGTTTGATCAGATATCACCAAGGAAATCCAATAGTGAACGAGTGATGAGAGAAATAGCAAGATTATTGCGCGTGTTTTGTTATGACAAGCATTCAGCTTGGGCAAGACATATAAGTAAAGTCCAATTTTTACTCAATTGTTCTGTGCACGATTCTACAGGAGTTGAGCCAATTTTATTAGAGAAAAATGTTGATCTTGAAGAACATTTGGGAAAGGTGATAACATTGCCTAAACAAATAGTACAAGATAGGAATAAAATGATAGATGATGTG